GCCCAGGGAAAGCATCACGCACTCATTTGTAACAACCGCGCAGCCCAATCGACGCGTGACAAGCGAAGGTTTTTAATCTTCCACTGACCGGTTATAAAACGTGTACCGCTCAATTTCAATTTCCTTTCGAGCTTTTTGTATCTGATATCAGGCGTGCTCGTTTAGAAACGTGGTTTAAAAGCCAAAAATATAGTATATTTACGAGATTACTAAGTGTTTGTTTGAAAAGAATATGGCCGCCAAGCAGTATTCTACATGCATGGTAACATGATTTACGGCTTTAGAAGCCTCATATTTAAATAAAGTATTTATCCGAAGTTAGTTAGATAGCGCTGCGAAGTAGACGTGTTTCATTCATTTATAGAGTCAAACTTTGATGAGGGATATGTCTAATGTGTACCTCACACTCACACGAAGGGTACAACAATAGCAAAGTCAGCTGGCACAAATAGAATAAACATTAGAGAAAAGACGTTTTTCTTCAGTGTCAGTTAGTTCTAATGCTATTCCCCTTATTATTTAGGAACATAGCTACAACATTACAGGCAAACTGAGTGTTATACAAACTTCATTTTGTGTGAAGATACTTATGGTTTTAGGAGTCTTATTTACCAAATAATGGTGCTCTGTTATGATGCTTCAAAAGATTCTCTGAAATAAAATCTACATATGTCGATTGAGTTTATATTTTACCTATACATTACTAAGTGGTTCGTATTCATTTGTGATTCATTTTTGATATATTTTATCCAAGTTTTCCTTGAGTGAAATGGTAATAAGTGGAAATTTTTTTATTTCATTTTACTAATTTTTGTAAACATATCGTCTGTTTATTTACTAATATTTAATTACTAACGCAGTTATTTGTTTTAGCTGTATTCTTTAATTATTCCTCAACAATCCCTGGGCACTTTGATGTATAACATGTGTATGTTGCGTGGCAACTGAATTATTATGGTCTGTTTTAATGTCTTACACTTGTGAAATTAGAAAACTGCAGTACCAACCCTTGGGCCTCTGATGCTAAACCCCCTGGGACTCAAAGAGTTAAAAAGCAGTTAATATGATGCGCTGTGGATATCTTAGAGAAAAGGGAACAAACTAGCTGTTAGAAGGTTCTGGGGCTGTATTATTGGAGAGAAAAGGGAACAAACCAGCTGTTAAAAAAAGGCTCTGGGGCTGTATTATTGGAGAGAAAAGGAACAAACCAGCTGTTAGAAGGCTCTGGGGCTGTATTATTGGAGAGAAAAGGAAACAAATCAGCTGTTAGAAGGTTCTGGGGCTGTATTATTGGAGAGAAAAGGGAACAAACCAGCTGTTAGAAGGTTCTGGGGCTGTATTATTGGAGAGAAAAGGGAACAAACCAGCTGTTAGAAAAAGGCTCTGGGGTTGTATTATTGGAGAGAAAGGGAACAGACCAGCTGTTAGAAGGCTCTGGGGCTGTATTATTGGAGAGAAAGAGAACAGACCAGCTGTTAGAAAAAGGCTCTGGGTCTGTATTATTGGAGAGAAAAGGGAACAGACCAGCTGTTAGAAAAAGGCTCTGGGTCTGTATTATTGGAGAGAAAAGGGAACAGACCAGCTGTAAGAAGGCTCTGGGGCTGTATTATTGGAGAGAAAGGGAACAGACCAGCTGTTAGAAAAAGGCTCTGGGGCTGTATTATTGGAGAGAAAAGGGAACAGACCAGCTGTCAGAAAAAGGCTCTGGGGCTGTATTTTTGGAGAGAAAAGGGAACAGACCAGCTGTTAGAAAAAGGCTTTGGGTCTGTATTATTGGAGAGAAAAGGGAACAGACCAGCTATTAGAAAAAGGCTCTGGGGCTGTATTATTGGAGAGAAAAGGGAACAGACCAGCTGTTAGAAAAAGGCTCTGGGGCTGTATTATTGGAGAGAAAAGGGAACAGACCAGCTGTTAGAAAAAGGCTCTGGGGCTGTATTATTGGAGAGAAAAGGGAACAGACCAGCTGTTAGAAAAAGGCTCTGGGGCTGTATTATTGGAGAGAAAAGGGAACAGACCAGCTGTTAGAAAAAGGCTCTGGGGCTGTATTATTGGAGAGAAAGGGAATTGACCTGCTGTTAGGTTACTAAAATTAAACAATATGAATATGAATTATTTTCTCTTACTCACTGGTGCTCTCTCTCTCTCTCTCTCTCTCTCTCTCTCTCTCTCTCTCTCTCTCTCTCTCTCTCTCTCTCTCTCTCTCTCTCTCTCTCTCTCTCTCTCTCTCTCTCTCTCGTGCAGACATTTACAGAAAATTAGTCCTATTTTTATACACCAACTGGCAGGAGAGATAGAGAGCGAGAGAGAGATAGAAAGAGAGAGAGAGAGAGAGAGAGGGGGGGGGGGGGTCGTGCGTTTGTGTGTGTGTGGTGTGGTGTGGTCAACATCAAACCGGTCACCTTTACTTCCCAGGACAATACCAGTACCACATTTTTAGACCAAGGTCAATTTCCAAAAAATCTACCATTATAAAGATTTAAACAAAAGACATTTGGGCCAGTAGGCGAGTCTGCAGCCACAGTATGACTTCGGCTCCCATCCTCACTCAAACCTTATGCAAATAAAATTACGACTGTACCTATCTATATTTTTAAAAATTTTAATTTTCCGAGTTTGTTAAATATAGACTTTGACACTACTGAACCGATTGCTTTCAATTTTCCACACAACATTGCCTTTGACTCAAAGCATATTTTTGTGTGTCATAAAATCGCACAAACCACGAACGACGAAGCTTCAGCAACGGTCAAATCATTATTTGTTTCTTTGCCGGCCCGGATTTGTTTTTAGTTGATTGGCCACCTTCGACTGCTGAGCAGGGCTGCCAATAGATGCCTTTTCCCCAGGATCAATCTCCAACATTTCTTTACCGAGCTCTAACTGGGTGGCAGCCAGGTTTTGTTGTGGTTTATAGCTAGGCTGCAATATCTATGCTTTTTTTCCCGCTCAATTTTGGGGTTTACAGCTAGCCTGCGATAGCGGCGACGTGATGCTCAATGTTTATGTCAGGGGTAATATTCATTTGCCCTTGAGAGGGCGTTGGCACGTTGTGTTTTGGTTTACAGCTAGGCTGCAATATCTGACCTAAGTCTTCAGTCTTTGGTAGTAGAGTTGTAAGTATACCGTCCTTCATGCGGATGACTGGTGTTCGATTCCCCGCTGGGTGCTAATTTTTCTTTTTTCCCTAAAGGCACATTGTGTTGTGGTTACAGCTAGGTTGCGATATATCTGCGCCTTACGCCCAAAGACATCTGATTTCAGTAAAGTCAAAATTTGCCTCCCCCCCCCCCCCCCCCCCCCCCCCCCCCCCCCCCCCCCCCCCCCCCCCCCCCCCCCCCCCCCCCCCCCCCCCCCCCCCCCCCCCCCCCCCCCCCCCCCCCCCCCCCCCCCCCCCCCCCCCCCCCCCCCCCCCCCCCCCCCCCCCCCCCCCCCCCCCCCCCCCCCCCCCCCCCCTCCCGAGGTTTTACTCGATCAAAAACTATTGGTTGATGACAGAAACTGTTAACTAAGATGGCTTATAGTCCAGTTCTGTTTGGGTCGACACGGATGCCAAGGTTAATTAAACAGAGATGACGAGTGAGGGTTTTTATTTCCGCTATTTGTGAGTATAGAGTACTTTTTTTTTTTTCAATCATGGAATATTACTGGCACACTTAAACTAAACAGTCCATCTGGCTACAATGACCTGTACAGACAGTAGTGACCGTTTTGTGTTGTTGTTGTGACGGTGGTGGTGGTAGTGGTAGCAGTAGTACTGGTACTCGATGGGTGATGTGGTAGCTGTTACACTGGCCACATTTACTTCTCAATACAGATTAATGCTACCCATTTTAGTCTGGGTGGACACAGATGCCAAGCTCAATTTAACAACAATATTTCGTCAGGCAATGACTTTCCCATACTTTGTAGAGGATGATATGATTGTCACGGGAAGGGTGGGTGGGGGGGGGGGGGGGGGGGGGGGGGGGGGGGTGAGGTTGATGCCAGACACTGTTAACTGAGAGAGCTTAAAATATTATTTTAAAGTTATCATTTCTTAACTATTTTTATTTTAACAATGTTGTTGCCACGTGAGTGATAATTGTTAAATCATTCTGAGAGGGAGATGATTGGGGAATGGGGGGTGGTTATGACAGACACTGTTAGCTCAGAGAGCTTATAACTTTATTTTACAGTTCTAATTTCTTACATATTTATATCTTAATACCGCTTCCTCAGCTATTCTAATTTTTTGGGTGCCAGTTTGTTGGTCACTTAGAAGTACAGCAGTCAGCTTTACTTTTACCTGTTTAAGCACAATAGATGCTTTAGCCTCAATAAACAAATAATCTTTTTTTCTCTCTCTAACAGTGCACTTTATTCGACCACTAATATCGACATTCACTGTTATGTTGCGTGTTCTAGAGTTGGCATATCAGACTATCTCTGTAGCTGTGCAATGACTGATATTAACCATATTAGACAGGCGTGCTTTCTAATTTTTTTTCTTTTCCAGTTTACCATTCTGGGCCACAGCAACGTGTGGCCAGGTACAGCTAGTTTGCAAATAAGATGAGATGATTCTCACTCAAACCTATATGCAAATAATATCGTAATTCTCACTCATATCTATATACGTATAAACTAAAAGCTATTTACTCACAGTTTCATTTGCCCAAGTACTGTTCTCATAATCTTTGTAGCTGTTTCCGCCACAGCATTTCAGCTGGAAGACAAACAGATAAATACATCATAAAAATATAACAAACCAACTTCAGTCCTGTGGCATAAACAAGGCAGGCCGAGAGAGGGATCATGCTGCATGGACAACATACGGTCTCCACAACAATGCCTAGGCTGAGAGAGGGATCATGCTGCATGGACAACATGGGGTCTCTACAACACTGCCCAGGCTGAGAGAGGGATCATGCTGCATGGGCAACATAGGGTCTCTACAACACTGCCCAGACTGAGAGAGGGATCATGCTGCATGGGCAACATAGGGTCTCTACAACACTGCCCAGGCTGAGAGAGGGATCATGCTGCATGGGCAACATAGGGTCTCTACAAACACTGCCCAGGCCACGTGATAGATCATGCTGCATGGGCAACATAGGGTCTCTACAACACTGCCCAGGCTGAGTGATATATGATGCTGCATGGGCAACATACGGTCTCCACAACACTGCCCAGGTCAAGTGAGGGATCATGCTGCATGGGCAACATAGGGTCTCTACAACACTGCCCAGGCTGAGTGATATATGATGCTGCATGGGCAACATACGGTCTCCACAACACTGCCCAGGCCGAGTGATATATGATGCTGCATGGGCAACATAGGGTCTCTACAACACTGCCCAGGTCAAGTGAGGGATCATGCTGCATGGGCAACATAGGGTCTCTACAACACTGCCCAGGTCAAGTGAGGGATCATGCTGCATGGGCAACATAGGGTCTCTACAACACTGCCCAGGCCGAGTGATAGATCATGCTGCATGGGCAACATACGGTCTCCACAACACTGCCCAGGCCGAGTGATAGATCATGCTGCATGTGCAACATACGGTCTCCACAACACTGCCTAGGTCAAGTGAGGGATCATGCTGCATGGGCAACATAGGGTCTCTACAACACTGCCCAGGCTGAGAGAGAGGGATCATGCTGCATGGGCAACATAGGGTCTCTACAACACTGCCCAGGCCGAGAAAGGGATCATGCTGCATGGGCAACATAAGAGTCTCTACAACACTGCCCAGGCTTTGTGCTATGTAGACAGGAACTTCCTCCTTGGCATCAATGCCTACCACTGTGCCTCTCTAAAGCACAATATGAGAGCATCGTCTGGACAGATGGAAAGGTACCAACAATTGTAATTATCAGCATGAAGATTACCATATCACGCATTCAGAGCCGACCAATCCATCGAAATATGGATCTAGCACTATATGCCCAATGCATTAAAGGTGTGAAATGGGGTACTTTCTTTTAGTATATATATATATATATATATATATATATATATATATATATATATAATATATATATACATATATATATATATATATATATATATATATATATATATATATATATATATATATATATATATATATATATATATATATATATATATATATATATATATATATATATATATATATATATATATATATATATATATATATATATATATATATATATATATATATATATCATACGTTACTGAAGTATCACCGACCTTTTTTAGCACATTACTGGGCCATAATTTATTAATTATCCTATCAGCTCCTAAATATTACCATACTAAAGTATCACTGAACTCTTATCTGCACATTACTGGCACATAATTTATTGATTATATTAACGACTACCCATATATTTACTATACTAATATATCTACTCACCAACCTACTTACTTAGTCACTCCTCTTCTACCTTGGGATGTAGAGGTTTGCCAGAGAGATCGCCAGACTTCTCTATCAGCAATTTTATTTCTGGCTTTGCTCCATTCCAGTTCTCAGTCAGTAAGGGACTGTCAGATGTCTTGTCAGCGGACCCTGGGTCGCCCTGGAGGTCTGGGTCGCCCTGGAGGTCTGGTTCCCTGGTTCTTAGCCTCCCATGCCTGCCAATTGTGGCTGATTTTTCCCCATTCTGCATACATGTCCAAACCATCGTAACTGACTGATCCACTCATGTTTGTAAGACCTTGGTATCAAGATCCAAGGTCTGATTGCGGATTTGTCCCTCTTCTTGTCGATTGGACCACCTTTCTCAGATACCTCATTTCTGAGGCCTGAATTTGGCTTAGGTAAACTGTTGTCATTGCCCATGACTCACACCCATAGGCTGGGACCGGTACATAGGTAGAGTAGTAAACGACCATTTTCATCCTCTTGCCAATTTCTCTTTTGCTAAGAAACCCTTGGTTTATGACCTGGAATAGTCTCACAGCAGCTGCTTTTCGTGTAGCCAGCTCAGTCTTAATGCTTCCGTTTCAGTCTTTTACAACTCCAAGGTATTTGAACTGGTTGACCTGCTCCAATGCATACTGTCCCATCATGATCTAGAGTTTCTTCTCCTTTCTTGAGATCCCTATGGTTTTAGTTTTGGAGCTACTGATGGTCATCTCTCTCTTCTCAAGCTCTTCCTTCCAGACAAATTAGTGGGACTGAAGGTGTGCCTCTGATTTAGCTATCAGGGCCAAATTGTCTGCAAATGCCAGCTATGATATACAGATTGGTCTCATCTTCCAGTACCCTACTGAGCACTTCTTTGTCTTCTCCTTACAGGTCTTGATGACATCATCCATCATAAGAATGAAGAGCTAAGGTGAGAGACTATCACCTTGTCTAACACCGCTGGTGGTCTTAAATTCTTCTGACTTTTGGTCTGCTGTTCTTACATAATTTCCGCAGCTTTAATAGAAACTCTGTATTGCACTGATCAGTGGTGCTGGGATGTTTTTCCCTGCCAAGCAGTCCCAGAGCTTGCTTCAGGGTACCTTGTCAAATGCCTTTTCTAGATCCAAAAAACATAGGTGCATCCCACTCTTATATTCAAGGGCTTTTTCATTCATCTGTCTCAGTGTAAAGAAGAGGTCTTGAGTACTTCGGTTTGCTCTGAAGCCAAATTGGGCTTCTGCACGTTACTGGCATATAGTTTATTGATTATCCTATCAGCTACCCATATATTATTATACTAGACTATTTCCTGAACTCTATATGCACATCAGCTATTCATATTTTACTATACAAGAGTATCCATCATTGAACTCTATCTGCACATTACTGTTGAACAATTTATACATTATCCTATCAGCTGCCCATATATTACTACACTAAAGTATCATTGAACACTACACATTAATGGTACACAGTTTACAGATTACCCTATCAGATACCCGTATATCACTAACGTAACACTGACCTCCACTTGCACACTATCCCAGGCAGTGGTCAACTTGTCCTTATAGTTCTTTTTGATGGATTCTGCCAACCCTTGATTCAATTTGCTGTTGATCTGAAAACATACAGGTTACATATATTCCAGCAGATTCATTATACTGTAACAGGGCAGTTTACAGTCAACAGGTGAATGATACTGGTGTTAAGATGGATTTATGGGAACAGAATGTCTTGGGTTGTGTTGCATGAAAAGGAAAAAATCATGAAAGAAATGTGGATGAAGAAGAAAATGATTGCAGAAAGATAAGAGCTGAGCATCTTCAGAAGACGTGGGTTGAATATGTGCAGTGGCAAAAATGGTCCTGAAATCTCATCATGTAACAGTGGAAGACTTTTCCTAATACAAGCATGTTTTGCTAGTCACACTCACCATCACCATGGTTTGTGATTCCCATGCCTTCCTGTTTAATGTTATCTGTTGTCGATCTTGCCATCCTAGCACATCAGTGAGGCCCATTCATGCTCGGTCTTCCGATGCAACAGTCATCCCAGTGTCTCCATCCTGACTGGTATATCTTTCTGCATCCTGCAACACATGTCTGTATCCTTGTCTTTGTTTAGGCGAATTCATGCTAACAAGGTTTTACTGTAATAATCATCATCTTCAGCATTCCATTTGGGTTCATTGCTGCAGACATCACCTGCCTCCATTCACCCTTCTCACTGGTTGGAGTTACTAATGCGCACTTAAACAATGTTTACGCCTCTTCAGGTTCTAGCACCTTGAAAAGTAGCAGTGCTTCTGACCTCAAAGGCAGTATCTGCTTTTGGCATAACTTGTCAAAGAATACTAACACAAATCACATGGAAAACAGGCTATTAGGAAGACAGTGTACACAGAAGACAGGGTACACAAAAGACAGAATATGCAGAAGACAGTCTACATAGAAGATAGGGTACATAGAAGGCAGGGTACACAGAAGACAGGGTATGCAGAAGACAGGATACGCAGAAGGCAGGGTATGTAGAAGACAGGGTACGCAGAAGGCAGGGTATGCAAAAGACAGGGTATGCAAAAGACAGGGTATGCAAAAGACAGGGTATGCAAAAGACAGGGTATGCAGAAGGCAGGGTATGCAGAAGACAGGGTATGCAGAAGACAGGGTATGAAAAAGACAGGGTATACAAAAGACAGGATATGCAGAAGACAGGGTATGCAGAAGTCAGCATATGCAGAAAACAGGGTATTCAATAGACAGGGTATGCAAAAGACAGGGTATGCAAAAGTCAGGGTATGCAGAAGACATGGTACGCAGAAGGCAGGGTATACAAAAGACAGGGTATGCAGAAGACAGGGTATGCAGAAGTCAGTGTATGCAGAAAACAGGGTATTCAGAAGACAGGGTATACAAAAGACAGGGTACACAAAAGACAGGGTATACAAAAGACAGGGTATATAGAAAACAGGGTGCACATACGTCATTCTTGAAAACAGCCACATAGATGCCCGCAGCCAGTTCCCCAGCAAACACGACCAGTAGGAAGAAAATATACTGAGGTGGGAAAAGATCAATACAAAACATATTATTCATCAACATATTGGTAATTTAAACAGAATTAAAAGTGAATGGTTATCCACCAGCAAGGAAATCAAAGTCAAAGTTTTGTGAGCAGGCATCTTCTCTGTATTAACATATAGAAGTCAGTCGTGGACTATCACGCAGTCCTTAAGAAAGAAAAAAGACGTTTTTCAGTTGAAATGCAAAGAAATGGTTTCTTAGAATAGCATGGACAAAGAAGAAAAGAAATACTGACATCATAAAAGTTCTGAATACCAAGTAGAATTGGCTAATAAACAGCATCTTGTCTCCGAAGCTGAAATATTTTTGCTATATCAAGTGCCACAGGGGATAGAAAAAAATAATAGCAGAAGGCATAGTGTCATGAAGGAGGGGCAGGGGACGACAAGCATGAAGATTTGAGTTAGAAGAAGAACGGAGCACTTATGGGTTACTGCCTGTGTGCCATGATGTTGACCTTCTTGGCAATGTTTATTTGATTTCATGAAGTTATTACTTTCCTTTGAAATAAAGTTCCTGAAATTATCCTCCTAAAGTGGCGCGGTGATTTATGTCACAGGCGTGAGGGGAAGTTAAGTCTAACATGATGTGTATAAGGAGATACTCCGTACGTCACTCGGGCGCCAGTCCTTCACTGTTCTGGTTTAACGGAACCTCACGCAAGACCCCTGCAGCACGTAATCGTTGTGCGCCACGGATAATGTCTCAAACGAGCATTAACAGAGCTGTCAGGGGATCTCGGAGTTTGGCGGCCCCTAGAGGTGATGTGTCCATGTGGCTCTCATCAGCCCGCCCCCAAACGCTTGGGTGAAAAAGGTTATCAAACTCATTGGGAACATGAGTATTCTAGCCAAGCTAACATCACAACCCTTGGTTAAAAGATGGCGGAGTGAAGAGAACATTGTTCACTGTACATCCTCTGTTAACCCTCAGTGTCGTCGTCACAGCGCTGAGGCACACCACAACAGCAACCATCCATAGGCTGGCCATCCATGTACATCCTCGGTTAACCCTCAGTGTCGTCGTCACCGCGCTGAGGTACACCACAACAGCAACCATCCATAGGCTGGCCATCCATGTACATAATCGGTTCACCCTCAGTGTCATCGTCACCGCGCTGAGGTACACCACAACAGCAACAGCTCATTGGCTGTCTAAGCCTAAATGTCTGACAAAACTAGATCCTACGGCACACAAAAAAGCTCAAAATCTGACCATCACAATTTGTATTGAACGGAAAAAGACCAAATGTCCACACCCAAAGACCCCACTCGCCCGAGTGTTGGGACCAAACTGATAACGATATGCCTGACGCAGGATGTAAAATTCTGTTGGGCTAACGGCTCGTCAAAGAAATCTAACGTGCAAAGAAAAAAAAAAGAATGTACCTATTCGTATGGTCACAAAAGTCCAAAACCCACGGGCTGCTCCCCGCTGACTTCCTGCGGGCGCAGCCCTTGTCGATACGGCCTGATACGGTTGTGAGGTTAAGCAGGCATGTGCAGGACGTGACGATTCCTTGGGTGAGCCCAGAACTAGAGCGCCATGTGCCGGCTCTGCACACATGGAAGCCTCCTTGGATGGCGGGGAATGCCCATGATCTGCCCCTGCCTTCCCTTGAGGGCTAACCGTTCCACAGGGGGCTGCCCCAAAGGGGTACTCTGGGGGCAATATCTGCGGAGAAGGAGACAAAGTGGACACCACACAAATCAGGCAACGTCTCGACCCACACAAAACAATGGCCACAGTCATCCTAGAAATAGGCCTGACGTCTTCCTTCGAAGTCGGAGTACAGCTGCCCATGAGGCAGGGAACAGAAAAACGGTTGTACACGCAAAAATTAGGTCCAGGTGAATGCCAAAAATCCAAGCGGACGATTAACCGGGACCTTCCGCCGAAATTCACAGCCGGTGATCGATTAAAAAAAAAATCATCCTAAACTGGATATCGTCTTTTTATCATTCACCAGCAGCAGAGTATGGCGGGAAGTTCTGGCTGTTCATCCACTTCTGGACTTTGCTCTTGTCCCAGAATTTGAGTTTTTCATTCACGAAGGCTTGACAGATGGGACTTCATTATATGCAGACCACTAGTTCCTGGCCGCTCAGGAAGATGTAGTCTAACTGTGAAGGTAACGCCCCTAATTAGTCGCTTCCTACTACATGCTTGTAAGAGAAGCAGTGACTCTCTTCCTCTAGAAGTGGTCCTAAAACACACATGATATAAACCTGGCATTTCTGAGTTAGAGGACAATGGCCTGCCTTCGAGTTCATCATCCATCCTGGAAAAATTATTACCAAAATTAACTCATTCAGTACTTGAAACTTCTCAAAAGCTGAGTAGTCTTCCCCAGACAAAAACTGAATCTTTTGAAATACTTATTCTTCTGTTCTTGTTTACTTTACGCAGACATCAAATCCTTCAGAAATGAAAATAACTACTTTGCAAACCCAAAACAATGCACCCAACACTTGTAATCCTTGAAGATGAATTGTAGGAAGCAAACAAAAATAAATAACTGTAGCTACGTCTATCAATGATTATTTCATCAGCTCTTATCCTCAAAATAATCTGCTTGTTTGTCTGAAGGCTTTTCATCCACGTCAATATTCACTTGGTTATTAGTTTCTCTGACGCAGCCAACAATACAGATTTTAATAGGTCATGCGGAATATAGCAAGAAACTTGAGGAAAAGTTGAAAATAAACTTCCTGGGAATGAGTGTAAAAGAGGGACGTGATCTGGGGAGAAAATAATGGAAAAGATTAAAATGAACATACTAGGAATGAGTAAGATGGTAGGGGAGAGTTATGTATGAGACCAGGAAAAATCAAACGCAACAATTTTCTCAGTTTTATTGAAAATCCACCAAACTTCTACTGGGAATTATAATAAAAAGAACAAGAATTCAAATAGAGATGGAAATTAGTGAAGAAAGGCTGCAATCTGAGGATGTGATCAGACAAGGGATTAAAGGAAGATCCACACTCCAAATGCCAAAATAGAGTTCTAATGAGAAAGGAATGCCAGTCTTAACAACAAAGTATTTCATACAGTGGAACATGATGAGGTGATTACAATGTAGCACAATATTACAACTGATGAGAAAGATCTCAGAACAATAAGAAAATACTTACTGAAAACAAGTAGCAGTAATTAAAAAGAAAAAAGAGGGTAATTATGAAAAGAAAAAGCAAAGAGTAAAACAACCTGTGGGAGTGTATAAGAAATTAAGTGCTTAATGAGAATACTGCTGGTTTTAGTGAGGAAAACAGCACACACAAAATGATCACATTATAAAAACAATAAAAACAATTCCATGCAGGTAAAATAGACATCAGTGTCATTAGGGAAGCAAAGAACACTAACACTGCACCCTAGCAGGCACGTTCTAAAAGGCAACTAAGAGTAGGGTCAGGCTTGAGGTTGGCTACCTCATCAAATAAAATACTATATCCATATACTATGGCTTCTGATCCGTACAGCAGACAGGACGGTTTCCTGCTTTTAGTCCTTTGAGCTAAATAGCTTTTCTAAACCCAACCTGGCATCAAATTTTCTGTAAGCCTCAGTGATAGAGGTTACAGGCTTACTGCATGAGAGTCAACCAATACATGCAGTTTTTTGTTTTTTTAAAGCATGGAAATGTTTTCCATTTATTGCTTCTCCCTGTTCATGTTTACTGATTATTCCCTTCATATATTTTTTATAAAATCAACCTCCAATTAGCTTGTTAAAAGAGATAACAATTTGCCAAAGCCACAACATTTAAATTTAACACATTTTTTTTCTGGAACTTCAACAGGGTCATGATACCTTGTTAGTGTTCCCAGGGCAAGAGGGTTAAAGGACAGGGAAGTGAAGACCTAGATGAACACAAGCTGCTGATATCATCAGAGATATTCTACAATAGCTAGGAATCTCAACAACCTCAATAACACACCTGGCACACAGTGTAAACCTATACTACAATCATGCCAGTTGTTCCTGGCCTATATGTTGAGAAGGTTTTTCTGCAGTCATACTCATTGCATTTAATGAAATATACATACACAGCTAATACCGCTATAATGAAACAAATTATGACATTGATCACAAAATACTCTTTATGATACAAAATTACTTATAAAAATACATATTCACCACTATTACAAAGCATTGTATGCAATTATGGCATTAGGGGAGGGGTAGCAGGTTACAGTACTGGGATAATACAGAAAGAGGTTGCAGGGCGAATGACATTTATTGGTGCTTTTTTTATACCCTACCCCAAACTGGGGAAATCCACAGGTCACGGGACAGTAATATTTCAGGTGGTGGTAGACAGGCTGTAGGTGGGTTTGGGTTAGGGCCAGTTCTAGATGTTTAAAAGCATCAGAAAGCCGGGAAACCCAGTCTTATCACCCTCTAAAATGTTGGACTGTCCTGTGACAACATCTGAGGTAGGATGTTAATAAAGAACCCAATTATTTATACGTTACCAGAACTAAAGAATGAGGAATAACTTAAGTACCTGCTTTGAGTTATGTCAGTGGATAAACAAGAAAGGACAAGACTTAAGAACACTGTGTGTAAACAAATCATTATAAAGAAGTATTCTGCATAAACAAAGCATTATAAAGAAGTAGTCTGTATAAACAAATCATTATAAAGAAGTATTCTGTATAAACAAATCATTATAAAGAAGTATTCTTTATGAATACTATTCATGTGACAGCAAACTAAACAGAGAGTGACATGTGTCAAAGAACAATACAGCACTAAGAATAGTGTTGGCTAGAACTTACAGCTCACTGCTTTCAGGGGGTCCCCATGGCGAAGTGGGCAAACCATTTTCCTCGTGCTCTAAAGATTGTGGGTTTGTTTTAGGAACTGTGTCACTCGATTCACAAGTGCAACTTTTAAAAGATCCCTGGAGACTGTCCCTAGAGCTATGGGGTCCGAGCCTTTTGTAGTGCTTTTAAGAGATTCACATACACACAAAAATGCCAAGCAATTTGTCAGAAATATCATGAACAAATTTCTGTTAATATCAAATATCAACTTACAAAAGCCAGCAGGCACTTGCTGCTCCTAATAGCACCACAACATCCGGAGAATCCCACAAGGAACACAAAAGCACCGAAGCCAATCAGAATGTATGCTGCTGTCTTCAGAAACTCATCATCGTTGGAGGCATCTTTGATGACGTCCATGTAATCTTTCATGTTGGGGTCCACAAGGATCCATATTCCAACACCTAAGATGGCTGCTCCAGACAGCTGCATTCAAACACAGCATACATAAATATAGACACATACAAGTGCATATGCACACATGCACAGAGGCAGAAGAGAAACACAAAGGAGACACTGCCACAGACAAATGGAGACACACAGAGCAAAAAACTAGTGATATCCAGAAAGAAATAAGAGTGAATGACAAAGTGAGGGAGACATAGAGACTAGGAGAAAATAGAAAAGACAGAAACAGAGTGGCATAGGAAAGATACTTTAAAAAAGAAATGCAAAAGAGAAACTAAGCCAGTGACAAGGTGAGAACGGGGCACAGAGACAGGCAGAAACTGATAAAGACAGAAAAAGGAGAAGTAGAAAGTGGCAAGGAAAAACAGACATGTAGAAAAGGAACATAGTAAATAACATTGTAAAAGAGAGGCATAGAGACAGGCAGACACTGGAAGATACAGTAACAGAGAGACAAGAGAAAGGAGAAAGGTCATGTAATCAATGTGCCTGCTTTTATATATGACCGTACAGGGCAAGATGCCATTAGCAAAATCAGACGACGTAATACAAGAGCAGATCGCAGACGGCGGGAGAGATGGGCCCAGCCACCATGGTGGAATGAAGCAGTCAACATAGCGTGGCTAGAAAAAAGGAACGCTGTCAAGGCATGGCAAAAGGCAAGGAAAATTGATCCGTCACTTTCTGAACGCCTGATCAGTCTGAAAGATGAGGTCAACAAGCGGACAGTGGCTTTCAAGTTAATTGCGAAGGAAGCCAAGACAGCGAAATGGAACGAATTCTGCAAGAGCGTTTGCTCCGAGGGATCTCTTGTGACATTCTGGCGCCTTCAACGGAGCATGCACGGCGCCGCACGACCAAGGGGTATCCCTGATTTTCAGGGTACAGACCTGATATGGCAGAGAACTGATGCTGATAAAGGAAAAACCCTTCTTGCGCTACTTGGAGCAAACTGACCAAAAAGACGAAGCTGCAAGAATAGGGGTTAAGATGAAACTGTCGATGCTGTGCGAGAACACTGAGCTAGGCACTGATTTCACAATCACTGCAGACACCTTAAGAACTTGCCTCAAGAAATCGCGCAGCACTGCTCCAGGCCCTGACGGCATCCGATACAATGACATGCTGATGATGTCGAATGCTGATTAGAAAAGCGTGGCAAAGGAATTCAATATCAGCATCCAGAGTGGCCAGATACAAGAGGAATGGCTCCATAGTTATTTGTTTCCACTACCAAAGCCTAATAAAGACCACTCAAAGATCTGCGGCTACAGAATCATCTCGATGCAGAATACTGTTGGCAAACTTTTGGAAAAAATTGTCGCACAAAGATTGACCACCTACTTAGAACTACATGATAAGTTCCCATCAACACTTGGAGGGTACAGATTGAAGAAAGAGACATGGTCCAATGCTGCTGTTTTCGCCTACGATGTGTACGAGGGATTTCAGATTAAAGAAGAGACATGTGCGGCAGTGTTGGACTTAGAAGATGCCTACAATAAAGTACCATATGATTATTTAATGCAATTACTGCTTAAACTAGAAGTCAATCCTATTCTGATCCGCTGGATTGCTGCGGTCCTGTTCCAGAGAAAGATTGCACTAAGATGTGGTAGCTGGTCCTCAGAACCGCAAACGATATGTCCAGGCTTGCCACAGGGATCACCGCTATCACCAGTCTTATTCAACGTTTATACGGTGATGATCACTGAGCAGCAGTTGAATGGAAAGGGAAGGACTTTGTCATTTGCTGATGACATTTTGATTTATCGACGAGGGCGTGATAGACAGGAGATCGCCAGCACAATGCACAAAGAACTCGATCGAATTGCCGCCTGGTGTGATGGTTCCAATGCCTATGTCAATCCCTCGAAGGCAGCAGTGTCATGGTTCTCTTTGAACAATCACATTGTCAAGTCGGACTTACCAGAAGTGAAAATGCGTGATAATGTATTGATCAGAACCAACGTTATGACGTTTCTCGGGGTGAGGTTCGATCGCAGCTTGTCATTCAGGGAACACGTTGACCATGCGATAACAAAAGCACGCAAAGGTCTATCTGCAATGAGGATTATGGCTGCTTCCAATATCGAGCAAAGACTGCTGGTGCTTCTATTCTACGGTCTGGTCCTTTCCCCCATTGAATACGCTCTGGCCATCCTCACTGTCAGTGCTACCCAGATTGAACGACTCGAGAAGGTGCAAAATGAAGCCATGCGTATTATTTTGGGATGTACAAGAGACACATCCTGTGGAGCAATGAGGTATCTACTTGACTTTCCAACAATGAACCAAAGGATCAGGATGTGGAGGGCTCGGGCATACCTCAAAATATGTGCTGATAAGAAACACCCACTGCATCAAGCACTTTTTAGTGAAAAGGGCGACAGACTGAAGAGGGGAAAAATCATGGCTAGGTCGGGCAGAAGATGTTATTAGGCAAATATGCAGCCTAACCGACATCATACCTGGTGCAGAATGGATACCTGTGCCTCAGGCGTTTATTTGTACATTTTCCTGTATTGTCATACTCAACAGGCGATGTAGAGAAGAGAATCCTGTTGCTGTTAATGCAGAGGTCAACGCTCTCATCGGTGAAAATTCAGACGAAGCAGATGCACTAATCTATACAGACGGATCCGTTATACGCCAAAGAAGAAGCGCATGGGCATTTACAGCACGCTCAGCGGGCAGAACAGTCAAAGAAGCCAACGGCGCCTTCTCCATGACAACCAGCAGCATGACGATGGAGGTGATGGCAGTGACGCAAGCGTTTGCCTGGCTTGAAACACAAAAATACACCCGCGTGTGTATACTCAGTGATTCAATGAGTATGATCCGGAGGGTTCAGGGAGGTTCAGTGCGAAGACAATGGCTTGAATCAATTCAGAAGTCCACTGTGCGAGGAGTCACCTTTATTTTTGTTCCGGGACACGCAGGCGTCGATGGAAATGAAAGAGCTGACAGGCTGGCTGGATCCGCTATCACTACCGACGGTCGGCCTATGGATCATGCTGATATTATCAATGCCCTCAGAGAAATGGGAAGGAAAGAGGTTGGTGGCAGTGAATCCACATCACTCGCCAGAATGGCAGACTTGGGAATTAAGATCGGCACAGCAAAAAACGAGACGCACACCGGACACGTCAGAAGACTTGTTAATCAACACAGAACTGGTACTATTAGCCGTCGGACGTTGGGATTCATACTGAGGGGAGGATCTGAGCACCTATGGACATGTCCGGAGTGCAATGATGATAACCCAACTAACTAACTAACTAACTAACTAACTAAGAGAAAGGAGGCATGCAGAAGAGGAACACAGTGAATGAGAGAAAGGGAGAAATAAATGAAGAAACTGGAAAAGACAGAAATAGAGAAATAGAGTGAGTGACAGGGAAAGAGACAGGTCAAAACATACATAGAAAAAAAGGAAACTGAAGAAGAGAGATCAACAACAACAGAAACACATGAAACAAAATAAGGGGAAGACAGACAAAATAGGAAACTACAAAAGGAGAGGAAGAGATGAGCATAAGTGAAACAGACAAAGAGAGGCAGGTGAGGAGAGAAACAGATATAGAATGGGCAGGGGGACTGACTGATAAACTTTTTTTTAAAGGATCACAAATTGGAAACACGGGTATTCGGCCATTCCAGACACTCATCTTTCACGCAGTAATTGTATTTTATCTTTGAAACAGATCCATACATATACTCCCATAGAACAGACACACTCATAAAAGCACATGTACAAACCCATAACAGCCTTTCATACACTTGCACTTAACACACCCATTAAATACTCTCATTTACACACATACATACTCTCGTACACACATGTTCATGCCCTTGCACATTTATATATATATATATATATATATATATATATATATATATATATATATATATATATATATATATATATATATATATATATATATATATATATATATAAATGTGCAAGGGCATGAACATGTGTGTACGAGAGTATGTATATATATATATATAGCGAGATAGCAAGAGATGGAGAAAGAGAGGGAGAGTGAGGGAGGGGGAACAAAGACAAGGATACCAACCAGTACGACACAGATGACAGATGTAGAAAATGAACTGTTTATTTGCCTGTACCTCAGCCATAAAGATTCTAATTGAACACCTGGCAAATATTCAGTCACTGGCTGACACATGCGCTCATCTACTGAAGATCATGAAAGAAGCTGATCAGGCGCACGTGCACGCACACATTCACATCAGATTTCTTTGTCTTTGAAAACACCATTATTACAGTCTGACTTGCACATCTTACAGTGTTATCAAGTTAAGGCTGTGAAGTCATGACACATATACTGTAGTATGTAAGTTATGCACTGCCGACTATTATAGCAGGGCTCAAAATGCTGCAGACATGGTCATATCTCAAAGCAGCCGCAGACAAGAAAACACCATCAGCATAAAGCTTTATACAGAGCTACGGGTCACAAAATGAAAAAAAAGGAGCAATCAGAAATGTGTGGGTCAAAGAGGGTGAGCAACAATCAGACTTGCCCATGGCTGTAATCACATTAGGCTGGGATTGCAGTGAATGGCCAGTGGGAGTAGCAGATTATGGAATTTAACACAGTTCTCGCCCAGATGATGTGATTATCTATACAGATGTCTCTGTTTTGAGAGGCAGAAAAAGTGCATGGTGACCCATAGCAAAAAAGCAAATGGCCAACTGCAACAAAGTCTGGCACATGATACTTTAACATCTAGTTTGAGAATGGAGGTGGAGGCAGTCAGCAACATTCCAGTGACTTGAGAACCAGCTGCCCACACATGCTTTGATCATTAGACTCACAAACCAGGCTGATAAAGGTGAAGTCAGAAATGTGCCATGCAGAGTAGTGAGTACCGCCTCAGAGATCCCAGGTAGTCAGCTTCCTTTGGATATTTTCTACAGGAAATGCAGGTGTACTGGGAAAGGAAGAGTCAGACAAACTGGCTAGTTCTCCCTCACTTTGATGACTTGACGCATGACAAGCTGGATGTGGTCAAGGCCCTTTGGGAGCGAGTGCACAGAGCAGAAGCACAAACAGATCATCACAGTCTAGACACACTGGTGCAGCATAGACTGAGCAAGGGATCTCACAGATACTCAATATTCAGAGGAAAGACGAGACATACATACAATCAGTATGCTATTAGTAACATCAAAATAATAACTCTGCTGCTGAAGATTGGGACGAAGCACTTATGGGAATACTTATTCTTAGATCGACTTAACATAGATACATTTTTAAATTCTGTGATGCCACTTTGGGAGTGAAATCTGAAAGATGGACAGCTAGCGAAACAAACAGCCAATTTTAAAACAAAAATCAATAGGAACAAATCTAAGAAACCCTGTTCAACAATACTGATAAAAACAAAAATGTTTACATCACATAAATAAACACATAGGGAACTCCTATTATTTGACATTTACTTGGTTAATATAATTTTCTGTAAACTATGGTGCCATTTCAATGGATTGAGACAAATTCTGTCCTTTTTCCATAGTTGTTGATTTCAAGCTGTATGACAGACATAACCCCAAAAAAAAGACATCTCTTTTTTAGGGATGCCTAGCTAGTCAAGTATCTTGGTACACTTGTTTCCACAGCAAGGCACACATGCCATTTGGAGGTGACAGGTTCAATTCCAGACACGGTAGCTATAGCTTTCTTTTTCTTTTTGTTGTTGTTGTTGTCTATTGTGTCCTTCTATCTTTCTACGAGTGCCGATCAATACACTGTATGTTTGTTTATTATAATGTAATGGTGTAGTTGACAGGTAACACAAAACACTATCCACATTTCAGTGTTTTACAAAGACCCCAGTCCTCTCCAGCTATTTCACTTCACCTGCTCTTTGATTCCCCTTTCTACAGTTGTTTCTCCCTCATTCCTGTGACCGTGCTGGTTGCAGTGCAAGGACATTCTAGTTATATTGCTATCAAGTTACTCACCCAGAAAATAAAGTTGAATGTAATCAGCAACAAACGAGCACATCCCGTAAAGAAACCCATGCTTACAGAGTCACTTTATGGCATAAACTGGAATCACCTGTTGAGAAAATCAATCAAGTCAATTGAAGACTTTATATGTCTCAGTGATGATAATGAATTAATGTAAATCAGTTAAACTAAACGATGATCAGGCTATACAAACTCATAGGTCCAGTATGTTTTAAATAGTTCTCATGACTATTTACAATACTTAGACAACTGTCAGTGCTCCAAAGATATGTGGCAAGGTCCGTCTATGCGTTTATAAAGCTCATTTGGATTGCCTTGACACAATTACTTAATTCTCTTTGCTCTTTGAAGAAATAAGAGAAATATCTGGGCAGCCACTAGTATCAACAGTTATAAGACAGAGAGGATGGCGCTAAATTGGACATATCCTAGGAAGAAACCAGCAGAGAATCACTAAACAGGCTATAAAATGGGGAATAAAGTGATTAAGGAGGCAGGAAACTCTACGAAAAACATTGATGAGAGAGGAAAAAGCTGCTGGGCTGGATTCTATCCATGTTATTTAACTGATTGCACAGGACAAAAAAGGTATGGATGAATAGACTGTGAGACCTATGTGACACGTAATGGCACAACAGGAAAACAAATGAATCAAACAAGAAGAAAAAGAATTACTGTATGTAGCTTTTTCCTCTTCCTGTTGATCAGCTTTGTCTGGAAGTCTATTATCAGGCTCATGGTTTTCCATGGAAGCACTGGTAGTCAATGCAATGACTAGTACACTTTGTTTCAGTGTCAGTTTTTAAAGCTTAATGTATTTTAATGTGACCGAAATATTTAGTTTGCCTCTTTTTAATTCATTGTATTAACTCTCTTTTTCAATGCCATCCCTGAGGAGAATGAGGCACATGGGTGTAACCAGAAGGTCTGGCCGGCTGACTACAGTCACAGGAAAGGCAAGATGGACATTTAACCAGATTGTGACCAGTACCATTAGTATTGGAACTCTGCGCTGGCTGCTGAAGATGAGGACGGAGCATGCATGGGAATGCTCCTAGTGCAGTAATGTCAATTCTTGACTAAACTCAACTCCCTAGAGAATGTCTGTATTTGATTTTGTTTTTGTCCTGAAATTCAACAGATTTTTCTGTAGATCTAAACCTCCAGAGCATACAATTCTCCATAATTGTTAGTTCACTGTACAGGTTTCTGCGCCATATATAACCTCCAGACAATTCTCATGCCAATATCTAATGTCAACACCATCATACATTCCCTCAAATATCAATAGTGCAACTTCGTGCATGCATTCAAATTTTCCCCTAAAGGTGAAAGACAGTTGTCAATGAGAGGAAATCAATACTTCTATTATAAAATAATCTTGTTAGTGGACAGAGCATCCAAGAGAAGGCATTCATATTAAACCTGTCAAATACTCTTATTTCTGCATACGAATGCAGGGAAGAGCATCTATGTGCAATACATACAGCAAGAAGAACATCTGACAGGTTTAATGTACCAGGGGATCTGGCCGATGCTCAACACTCAGGGGAGGATGAGACAGATATACGATCTGACGGTTACTGGTACCATCAGAAATGGAACTCTTCGCTTGCAGCTGAAGATGGCGACTGAGCACTTATGAAACTGTCCTGAGTGCTGTGATGTTGATTCTAAATTCAACACTCAACATTCAACATGAACTGCTGGATGATCTGTCCATTAAAAATATTATTTTATAATAAGCATTTGTGACTCGCAGTTATCACCTGATTGGTGTAATCATTCTATCTTTCAGTATATCAGCCTGGTCCGCTGCTCATCAATAGTCTTCAGTCCTTTTGTGAGCCTAACTTCATAACAAATGATGAAAAGCTGAATCAATTATCTTGGCAGTACTTTATCTTAGGAAGAAGCTTCTTCTTCTTCTTCTTCGCGTTCACCAGCTGTAAACTCCAGCGGAAAGTTCTGGTTGTTTATCCACTGCTGGACTGCAGTCCTGTTCCAGAACCTGAGTGTTGCGTGTGCATCCGTTTTACAGATCTGACTCATTTGTATGCAGACTGCTGGTTCCTTGCCTCTCAGGCAGATGCACTCCGACTTCGAAGGAAGCTCCCCAGTTAGTCGACTCTTACGACATGCTTTTGGGTAGGCAGTGGGTCTATTCTTGTTTTCCCCACAATAGGGCCCCTGAACCCACACAGGGATATCTTAGGAAGCCATTGTCAACGATAAGATCAATGCTAAAATCTCAAAGGCCAGCAGCCCTTTTGGCAAACTTTAAATCAACTTCTGGAATTAAAATGATATCATCCTGCAGACAAACGTAAGGGGTCACAGGGATAGTTTTACTCGTATTACTCTACGCATGTGAAACATGGACAGTGTATCAGCACCATGCAAACAGAACTGAATGGGTTTCATACAGACAGCCTCTCTCAAAATACTGCTGAAAATCAAATGGCAGGACATGATTCTGAATACTGAGGTTCCCAACAAAGCAAACCTGCCAAGCATCCTGCTTATACTGACAAAATATCAGATCCACGGGGGCTGTCACTTAGCCTGCATGTCCTCCCTTGGCTTCGAAAAAGGATATTTTACGGAGAACTACAGCACTGAAAATGATCTCCAGACAAGTGGAGACAGAACAAATGCTACAAGGACGCCTTTGAAACTGCTCTAAAAGCTGTTGGCACTATGACATATACAGAATACTGTTGCATAAGACTCAGTCTAGATGGTGTACAGTCTTCAAGCACGGTGCCTCAGCCTGCCAGGCAGCGGAGGTCGCACTGACAGAGAAAAGAAGGCAGTTGCACTAGACTCGGTCTGGATGGTGTACAGTCTTCAAGCATGGTGTCTCAGCCTGCCAGGCAGCAGAAGGTGCACCGACAGAGAAAAGAAGGCAGTTGCACTAGACTCGGTCTGGATGGTGTAGTCTTCAAGCATGATGTCTCAGCCTGCCAGGCAGCAGGAGGTGCACCGACAGAGAAAAGAAGGCAGACTAGAAAGAACCATCTCTGGTTCTCTGAGGTGGTCCTGGCTGACACAGGCCTGCAGGTGTAAAAGAAAAGAAACAAGCTGATCAATTTCCAGGCAAGCCTACTTTGAAGGCCGGATGAGCCATGGACCTAGCTGATATAGTGAAACATACTGAATGATACAACAACTGCACCAGTCAAGTGATGATTGTCAATCAGCAAGGCTTACCACTTTTAAGGGTCAGTAGGACAAAGGGATCTTGAGCCTGTGGATTTAAGGCCACAAAGCTAAAGACCTCACCCCCATCTGTGCAGGTCAGACATTTTATTTCTGCCTGGCAGAAAAAAAGCCTTTATCCATTAATGAGGATCAAACCTGATCCTCCAGTAAGAAAGCCCAGCACTATAACCACTCTACAAGCCTTGGACATACTTATTGTTCTAGACCTTTATTTGTATTTGTACTCGATGGCTAAATTGCCAATAACTGCCTCTATTATACCACTTTTTTGCTGTGTAAACGGAGGAAGAGGGGGGAGGGGGTCTTTGAGCCTAAGGATTTACGGCATCATGGCTAGTGCTGTCGCCACGACAGGATTAAGAGGAGGATGGTCATAGCAATGCAAAGATTAAACATCCTAAAAAGTCTACGGTTAAGCACCAGCAAGGAAATCCAAATTAACAATTTTGAAAGCATGCATCTTCCCTGTAGCAACATACGGATTTGAGTCGTGGACTATCTCCCAGTCCTTAAGAAAGAAAATAGGGGCTTTTGAATTATAGAAAGATTATCTGACTACCATGGACAAAGAAGAGAAGAAATACTGACATCTTAACAGATCTGAACAGTAAGAAGATTGGCTAATAAACAGCATCTGGTCTCGGAAGTGGAAATATTTTGGTCGTATCAAGCGCCATGACAGATTGGAAAAAATAATAGCAGAAGGCAGGGTACCAGGAAGGAGGGGTAGAGGCCGACCAACACGAAGATGGACATAGCAAAAAAGTGATTCCCTGAATATGAAAGTATATGAGGCGGGAGAGCTGGCGAGAGACCGAGTTTCCTTCAGGCAGACCGTGATGAGAGCAACGTTCTGCAAAGGACCTGCTATATGATGATGATAAGAAAAACAATGTTTTAAGTTGTAAACTGAGCCTTTTAATGAATTATATAAGATAATTTCTTTGATTTTGCAAACATATTGTTTTTTTATTTCTTTCAACAGAAAAATTAAACGACAATATATTTCCACTGTCCGCATATTTAACAGGTGTATATATTATAAAGTTTTCTGAGATTAGATGGTGCACTTCAAAACGGCAGGGGCTTCAGGGCAATGATTATCTTAGGGCCTCATCGAGTCAAAATCCAATCCGGCTGTATGTTTCTATTCTACTGGACTGTGTTTCCAGCAGAGCAGATGTGACAGGTTCATGATGTCTTATGTAATAATCGTCCAGACTGAAAGTTGGTGGGAGGGGCTGACATATAATGAAGTGGTGGGACCGCCTAATCTAACATCTGGCTGGGCCGAAAGTGAGGGAAGCATGGGCATCTGCATTGTTTCACCAGCCCTTGAGAGAAGCAGCACTGTTGTCAATAACGTTGGGTCAACTGTTAGACAGCCAGTCTGCTAAAGCTAGCCGTGATACCACCCACAGACAGCATCGACCCCCTGGGTTTTGCCTGATCACCGCGCCATCTCATTCGGGTCCCGCTGAACAGAACCGTTAGTGTCGACAAAGTGTTGCACCATTTGCAACCCAGGCATTCATTCAACTGATCCTATTTCTACACCAGACCTGGCATTAACCATCTAACAAGAAGGGACCAGGCCACAATCTTCAGACTCAGAACCCAACTACTCCACTCAATGGACACCTAAACAGAACACAGCCACAACACTCCCCAGAGTGCCAGCTATGTAACTACCCCTACGAAACTGTTGACCATCATCTCTTTGAGTGCCCAAAACTCAACGAGACTAGAAGAATGCTACTCCTTCCGAGACCAGACAAGTGGAACACATTGTACGGAGGAAAAGAACAGCTTGTGAAAACATGTAA